ATTAGTGATTATTAGGTAAACTTGATTATTGTTCTACTGTATTGAACTTTCTAAACTTTTGAACTAAACATTATTTTGCATATGCTTGGTCTGAATGTAAATGCATGCTTTAGGGTCTCACCAGGAAAAGCCAGTTAAAAAACAGAGCTGTGCAAGAAAGAACGAGCGAACCATATACTGAGCACAGTCAGGTGCACCTTGTAATGCACTGAATGCTGCCGCCCGCCCCCCCCCAGTTCCGTTTTCCTACCATTTTTTCCCGACACCCCCCTCCACCACCAGCATAACCCCTCATCCAATTCCTGTCGCTGCTTGTCTGGATGCGTCTGACTCCAGAGACTCCAGCTGTTTGCGCCCTCCCAAGTAGTGTTTCAGCATTTTATGACTGCTATTTGCACCTCGTAGAGCGCAGTGTGTAATCTGATGACTTTGGCTATTTAGGAAAGGCACTCGTGTGACCTAATCTCTGAACATAGTGGCTCGCATGCATACACACATTTGAAGAAAGTAGCGATACATGTTGTTTTGTTCTGAGGCTGTGCAGAGTTTGCAGACCATCTGTTGGATTATCTGTGAGGATTTGCTTGTCGTTATGCTGAGGAGGAGGATGCGTGTTGCTTTGTTGAAGGCAGAAATACTTTGACTTCATTGTCATACTTTTACACATGGTCAGTGGCTCTGTCTACAAGTAGAAGCTTGTCACATACTACACACAAACATGTTCCAGAAGTATTTAGACCAATGCAAATATATCTAATCATCATCTGACTGATCATCTTTATCATATGTCAAAAAACATACAGACATAATAGACAGAGTTAATGCTACAACTAGAATGGAGCGCATACCTCTGCCAAGGCCCAACAGCTCCTTCAAATTCAATCAAGCTGCTCCACATTTTACACACCCATGAATATCAGTCCCCTAAATATGCCAAGATCCATAAATTATTCCCTGGGAAATCAATGAAGATGTCAAAAAGTGCCTCACAATGTGAAGGGGAGTGTGCCCTGTGATCCAGATCCACACCAGAATTGAATGGGTTCTTCCCTGACCCAAACCACATCCTTCAACCAACCGCCACCATTCCGCCTTGTAACAGACAAGGGCTGACAACACAATCTCCCTGGCAGGGGTTTTTATTTGTATTTATGGAAACGATGGAACCCGTTTGAACTTTTTTCAAGCACCCTTGGAGATCTCCAGGCCCCCATGTAGGAATGAACTGTCTCACATGCCACACTGCTCTTTTTGACACACATGAGAATAGGACCAATGTAGCTCTTTTGCACCAATGTGATGACAACATAAACCCCCCAAACCTCAGCACCAACGCTGGAAACACAGACCAGTCTATAGAAACCATACACTGTGTCTTGCTGTCTGCATGTGGTGCTGACAGATGTCACAGAGAAAACGCTGTCACCATGAAATGCAGCCTCTCATGACGTTCATGCTCGTTGACGTGCCTCAAGTGGAGTTGTGAATAAGATGTTTGCTTAGGTTGCACCAATTTTCAAATACCACTTCTGCATGATTCTACTTTCTTCCTCTTTTGCATCGGTGCACTCTTGCTGTACCTGCATGCTGCTGACAATACAGTGACAGCTAATGTTTCACTACATGAGTTAGAGGGAGTTGGCAGAAAATAGGCTTATACTGCAACTAATGGAAATAATACAGCCACATTCATATCTCCACTCTTTTTAGGTCTGAATGTCGGCCAGATCACCCTGTCAACTCAAGACTACTTTTTTAAAATATGTCAAACCATGACAGTTTCTGTAACAGCTCCTAACAAAACAGCCCGGTCTAAAGGCTACAGCTGTAAGACCTGTGGTTGTCTTTTCCCATCATTCATTTCCTCCTTTTTTATCTATCCCATCTCATTTTACTTCCATTTAAAAGGAGCTGACCAGAAATAACCCCTTACGATAAAAAAAAAAAACAACAACAAAAACAGACATTTCATTTCATTCCCCTCCTCCAAACTCTTTTGCAGAGCTTTTTATTTTTTAACCGTCACGTGAGCTGCTTCTCTGTAGCTCGCCCCTTTGCCTCCAGCCACCCACCCAGAAAGAATAAGTGCTTAACATGTGAAGTTTTGAAGGTTGACAGCAGCACAGTTCAGGTCAGAGGGCCTCACCGTGACTTGGAGCCGAATTATGACAATCGCCTGTGATTACGCCACGGCCCGGGGCGGGTGCCATGCACATGACGGGATCACGCATCGGTTGTCACATGTGATTGTAACCAACGATCCTGGCTGGGGTTCCTGGCACGAACAATTGTATATTTCTTGACCATTGGCAGGCAGGCTGCAAGTGGAAGGTGGTAATGTCTTAGTAAGCATCTAGCTCTCTTTTCTCTCTTTCTCCTTTTCCCAATAATTGACCGCCACCCCCCCGCCCCTCCCCTCGTGCTCATTCCTCAAAACAAACTGCTGTGTTGCAATAAAGTCAGTAGTCAAAATTACATGCAACATGTCTGGAATCCTGCAGGACAAGCACCTCCGTAGCTTTCATGAACATTTTAACACATAAAACAGAAATGACAGAGCTGGTAAGCTGCTGATGTAGCAAAACATGAACACTGAGGACTTCATCATAAAGTATGCATTGTTTTTTGTTGTTTTTAAAGGGCTGAAAAGATCATAATCATCTCTATAAGTACTGGGCCAAGAAGTTTGTTTCCGGCCGTAAATATGTCTCCGAATATATTTCTTGCGTCGCTGTTTTTGTGGTCTGTCAAACACATGATCATTATCTGACGCAGAGCCACCTGTACACAGTGACTGCTCCACACAGGCTTGTGGCAGGGGCATAAAACTTAACAGACCTATTTAAGCGAGCATGAGCCATGGGCTGCTGTGACAGTCATATAGATGTATGCATGTTAACTTAAATCTCTTAGTTCTCTGTTTTCGTTGATGCAACTTAGCAGGTAGCTGCTCCAGAGTGAATAACTAAGTAAAATTTACCCATGGACTGTGTCATTGAACCAGTATGCCCAGCAATGGTTAAGCACTTTCAGGTACCATCCATACTAATATGTTTTTGTTTGAGAACGGCATCTTCAAAGTAAAACAATGTCTGTCCATGTTTTTGTCCCCGTCCATACTAAAAAGCCTGAAAATGCATGTCATGTGACCACTCACATACATTTGCATGCCAGTGTACCTAGATTACTCGAATACCACCTTGTCTCTTACACATATAAGCAGTTGGAGGGTCATGTCCTAGGATCCTGACGAATCGGAGAACGCTACCTTGTGACTGAAAAGACCCAATCAGCGAGCAGTTGTGATTCTCTGCATTTTTGTTTCCAGACATCTTCGTTTCTGCTCAGCAAGACTTGAATGCCCCCCCGGAGTTTTCAAACTAAAACGGGGCCAGTAGTGTTTCCAAACTTCTCAGTTTTAGTGGCTCTATAACTCCACAAATCCCCTCACGCCTTGTAGTGTAGCAAGAATCTTGGGTAAAACGACATCCAATTGCAAGGCCCATCTGAGTTGTAATTGATGACTTGTCTGAATTTCCAGCTCTTGGATTAAAAGCCTTTTCAGCCACAAGTATTCATGATTTATGAACACATTCACAGATCTATGAATGTATTTGCAGATTTGCACATGTACAAATCTCAATACACTTGCAAACACATTTTACATGTTTACAAATCTAATAACACATACACACAGTCAAAATACACATTTGCAGTTTCCTGTACGCACTCGCAAAACTGTGATTATGAAATGAGGTCCACTTGTGCTGAGAATCATTATAGATAGACACAAAGACATGTACATTGTGATCACATGTGTATAAAATCTGTCTTTCAAACTGTCTCTCACCCTTTTTTTGTCACACACACATAAACTTTTGCTCTCCTGGGAATGTCACAAATACACTCAACAGGACACACTCTGCACTGCTGCCACTGTATCAGGCCTCTGCGATGAAGGATCTCCCACTCACGCTGAAAAAACCAAAGCCGACTGTAGTCAATTAAACACATATTGCTGGCAGGCGCGGTTTACGGTCCAAATGCTACGTGCCAGTTGACTGTCAACACAGATGTGGTGTGTGTTTGGAGAGACGGAGCGAGACAAAGAGAGGCAGAGAGCAAGAGAAAATAATCTCCCAGTGTCTGAGTCGGCTGTGTTGATAGAAGTTTATTGAAAGTGGAATATGAAAGCTGAAAACATCTCTGTCTTTCTCCCATAGAGACCAAGGCTGAGATAGAGAGAATAGGGTCAAATGAAGAATTTTTTCGTCGGCCAGCTCTTTAGGGATTTATAATAGGTTTTCCCATAACTTATCCACTTATATCAAAAACACAAGGAACTGGTACTTTAAGTGGCAGCAGTTTTAAAGAGTTAGAAACATTTATAACGTCTAAGAAGATATTTTTAGAAAGCGTTTGTTAAATATTATATCAGATAACCTTTGTCGAGCTATTTCCTTTGTTAGATTTCTAGTATAAAGTGTGTAATGCCTAAACCTTGAGAACCTCCAGTGTATATTGTATATGAGAGATGCCTCCTCTTTTCATCCACACTCTGCCCCCTTTTTTTGTTTGAAACTCTTTCTGTCTGACCAGTCCTTATTTAGATTTCGCTCAGATAACTTCTGACACTGAACAGCAAAACAGATGTTGAACATGAAGAAACACGGCCAGAGGCTTTAGAGGGTCAGGTTCAGAGTGACCCAGCAGTCAAATCTTGACTAATTGCTGACAGAGACAGATTGGGGAGCTAAAGAAATAGCTGGAGAAGGTTTTGTTCATTGGTTATATATTGCTGCAGCCCTTAAGGACATTAAAGGGCTGTAATTTATACTCTATAAGTCACTTTTAAGAATTTTTGACACCCGTTTAGCTACTTGAAGGTGAAGCAAGGATGTGTAAAAATAAAGTCCAATATATGGGTTGTGCAGAAACAGGCTAAATAGGTATAATAGGCACTAATGCAAAGACTAATAAACTCTCTGTTTTGCCTCTAGTCAGGTTTGATCAGAACGCAGGATGCAGACTACTTCCTGAGACCCGTGTCCCTCAGCCTCGCCCAGAGAGAGAACTTTACAGCACCCTCCAGTCACCAGCCGCACATCCTCTACAGGAGCCAGAGGGACCTCCAGACAGAGCGGAGAGCTCAGCCGCAGAGGGCCCTTCTGAAGAGGTCCACAGATCCGACCCCTCGTGGGTCATACGGACACTTTGTCACAGAAAGATCCACAAGAGACGCCACCTACAACACGGTTGATGAAGAGCACCAGCAGCAAAGGCACAGCCACCATTACCACCATGGCAACAACAACAACAACAGTAGCAAGGGTGACCTGGCGGAGGACCGTGGCAGTGACCTTCACCACAGCAGCCATCGCCACGACAGCGGCTACAGACATGGGGAGAAGCAGAGGCAGCACTTCTGTGGGAGACGGAAGAAATGTATGTAAGGGCTGTTTCTCATTCTGGTCCACACATAACGTACAGCGTTAGTGCACACTGATGTACCTCCTCCTCATGTTGGGATGTTTTAAAGATTCCTGTGATTGTTCTTCGTGCACATGTTGATCAGGGAGACACAGTGTACTGTAAAACACATTTAACAGTTTCTCACTTTGAGCTCTATAAATCAAACTAAGCCCTCGGGACATGGAAAGTAAAAAGACAAAGAACAGTGCTTGAACTTTTTAGATATTTCACCAGATATTCGATTTGACAGTGACATTAATCTTCCTCACATATATTCCTCCATCTAAAAGACATTTGCCATTATATCGTTTTTCACTCGCTAAATGAAACTGAAATTGTTAGAAAATTGCCATCTAATATTTTTTCCACTATTTCCATTCACTCAAATAAAAATGGTTTAACATTTGACACTGAAAGAAGAACGTTCCCACCTAGACACACTTCTCACATTACACATTTAAGACCGTGTCATAATAAAAGTTAGTGAGAGGTTAAGGCATATTTTGAGGAATTATCTCTCCGTTTACAGTTTCACAGGGAAAAGAAAAAGATTGACACAAGATAGTAATTCTGTTTGTTGACATTTACGGGTTAATTCTTTTAGCGGTCGGCCTCATGGGGGTTGTGGTTGGTTGGGTGTAATGGGAACAGAGACTTCAAGAGAATATTTTCCCATGTTCGTGAATGCTAATGGGTGAAGGAATCACCTACGACACGGGCTGTATTTCTGCAGGAAATGACACATTATTAGCCCGTGTGTGTGTTAGGGAGAAATACAACAAGGCTGTTTTCATTCAAAAAAAGTGAAAAGTAGAAGCAACCTTTTTAAGTTAGAAAGTCAAAATTTTACTTCTCAAGAAGGTTTCGATTCAACTCTCACATGATGACATGTACACTGTTAGTGACTTAAGCTGTGAGAGGTTATGGGAAATGTTTTATATTCACTTAAACACTGTGACAAATGTTTGCCCTCAAGAAAATTACCACAAGATCAGTTAACATTGCCGGTGTCACAGGGGTCATTTTAGAGCGAGCAGGCAGGGATTGGACTGGTACCACTGCCATTACCTTGCAGAACCCCAGCTGTTCGTCCCCTGTGAAAACACACTGGTGTTTACATTCCCGCGCAGTGACATCACCGAGCACCTGTGCCATGTTTTAGTCAAAAAGGGCTCTTAAGTTGCTCACCTGCTTTCCCTCTATGTAAGCAACCTTTTGAACCTTTATGGTTTATCGCAGTCAGACAGTGATTGGTGAAAGTTTTGATAACTTGAAAGCATGGAAGACGAGATTTGAGGTGATAATGTCAAAGGCCACAATGGTTGAAGGCTGACTGTTTTTTTTACTATGCACCTCCTGCATGGTTTGAATGTGAGGTGTTTTATAGGAAACTTAGTTTCTTCCATCAAGGAGGTTATGTTTTCATCTCTGTCAATTAGTTTGTTTGTGTTTGTTTGTGAACATGGTAAAAAATACTGCAGATATTACTGCAAAACTTGGTGGAGGGTGGTATGGGTCTGTGTAGAACCCATTCAATTTTAGTAAAGATCTGTATCTGAGATTGGATTCAGAAATTTCTTTTCACCTTCTTTAACATTGCGAGATAGGGCGCTTTTCAACATTTTCCTTCATGAATCAGGCGTGTTTAGGGGTCTTATATTTAAAAGTGTGTGTTATTTAGTCAGACTACAATCAAAATCTGGATCTAGATAATTTAAATGTGGTTTCATAAGGGGACTGTTAGGCTTTGGCGGAGGTATGCACTCTCCTGAATGGCCTTCGAGTTTCAAAATGGGAGTTATAACATGAACAAACTGCATTTGAGGTCAACATTGTCTGTGTTTGTCGAAGTCACCGAAAGTGCTGATTAGTTTTCACAATATGTTTGTATTCATTGCAATTTACGTCATCACATAGTTTAACACAGCATGCCTTCCCCCATTCAAAATCACCTTTGTTTGCAAAGTAGATTAAAACAGTGACAAGTTCATTCTCGATTAACGCTAATTGGCCATGAAACATTGTGGCCTTTGTCCGTCATTATCTAACATATTGTGTTATGAAGGCAGAACGTGAAACTGATCTTTGAAGACTTTGTTGACAGCAAAATTGATCTGCTCGTAGCATGTAAAGCTTTCATGGTACAGTTGCATATCAATAAAATCTGACTTGCTTTATGTGCTGCTAATGCACAGTACACAACACACTGTGGTTTCACACTTGACTTAATGGTAGCATAACACTTACACTGCCAGAGTCAACAGCAGTAAGAAAGCTCAGTTTGCAGTTTATCCATGACATCAAGTCATGAACGTGAAAGTATAGTAAATCATCCGGAATGGCTGTCAGCTACTTGCCAGAATAGCTGGTTAATACTCACAAGCAAAGGTGACCCTTTGGCAAGTGGCTGCACGTTCATTTCAACTCTTGTGCAACATACAGTTTAATCAGCTGTGGGACAGACTGATTGTATATTTGTAATGGAAGTTACAATTGCTATTAAATTATTATTGTATGTGCAATTGTTTTCTCTTTCATCAATCACCTACAATCCACTATCGCTGGTTTTGTACTTAATTACTCTGCATCCACAGTCTGTTATGCATAAAGCTTCTTTTAGTTTGTTTCAATTGTCACCACATCGGTTAATACGTTCATTAATTATAATTCCCTTTATCTCTCCCCCTTCTGTTTCCAGACATGCCCAAACCTCCAGAAGAGGATGTGTTTATCCTCCCGGACGAGTACAAGTTTATCCCCAGGAACAAAAGGGCAGTGCTGATGAAGAACGAGGCCAATCAGAAGCTCAACGTGGAGACGCTGGTGGTGGTGGACAGAAAGATGATGAATAACCACGGCCATGAGAACATAACCACATATGTTCTTACTGTGCTTAATATGGTGAGAGAGAGTTAAGGGACACATATGCTCATGTTAAGATTCATAATTTTGATTTGGGTTATTACCTAAAAAAATGTACATGCTCAGAAACACGCTAAACAAAAATGATTAACAATTTAAAAGTAACTTTTAAATATCAGCATATTTACTTGGTGTGACCAAGTTAGCGCACTTATGTAGCATGTTTTCTACTGGCTACACTGTGTATGTTTCAGCTTTATGTAAAAATTAACATTTACAAATAGCTTCAACAACAGTATAACACAGGCTAGCCAGCATATTCACTAATCAAATTAAGTTTGGGTAAGTTACACACTGTCAAAACTACAGCCTGAATTCAAACTTGTTGTTTTTACAAATGAAAGGGCAGCACAAATTGATTTGCCACACATAAGTAAGTTTGCCATCGATTAGAGTTTAGTGACTGGTCGACCCTGTTCTCACTTATCAAAAAGAGCGTATCTAACAACATGAAATCGATATCTGGGTGAGATCACCGCCGCAGCGCTTACAGTGACCCCCGTCCCTCGCAGCTGATCTGCAAGCAAATTCCGTCACGGTCGTTTTGCTACTTAGTGAGTGACTGACAAATCCAAAGATAATCCATCTATTTTGAAAACATGGTTCCCTTTAGTTGAAACCAAGCTGGAGTAGTCACAGCCTGCCCTCAGAGGAGTCACCTAAATACAGTGTGGAGTTTCACACAAAACACCCGACTCCCTGCCCCACCTGCCAGCTCCCATGGGTCCCGGGAAAGATTATTTAATATTTGTTTAAAGCTAAATCTGATATGCATTCAAGTATTTACATGGATTTATGTTTTCTTCGCTCGATCCTGGAAAGATTTCAGAAATATCTTTTTAATTACAAATGATTTAAAAAAAAGCTGGCTGTACCACAAAGCGCTGAAGCTCTATGGAAACCGCTGTGATTGTTTCTTTTATGAGGCAGTGATTCATTGTACCTGTAGAAGTGTGTAAGTCTGAAACTCCATCAAACACTGATGTTCCAGGAGATCTCAGTTTAAGTGAGTGGTTTTGATTGCCTCTTTTACCTTTTCTTGTTTTGCTTGAGTTCTGTAACAAACCACAGCCGTGTGTCTTCTCATGAGTCAGTGCGGAGGAAGAGCAAAAGACCAAACATCAGGAACATAAGGATCGAATGAGTGTGTTCCTGATGAGAGAAAATAAAAAAGTTCAGCAAGTGGCACCTGAATTATTCACAAGGCTCAAGAGAGAATGAACCAGGGCAAAAGATCAGGAGTCTGCTTTCAAAGTCCAAACTGTTATGACTGATGGTGAGATATCTGTGTGAGTACAAGACACTGGATTGGAAACAGCGGCTGTGGTGATCAAACCTAAGCAACACCATTGCAAAGGCTTTGTGTGTTGTTTCTACAGGAATGTCAAGGTGCATTGTCTCCAGACAAAGACATTTAAAACTTAATATGGTGCAAACTGTATACTTAAAGCTAGGGTTGGTAATCCTGGAAAATCTAGCAAGAGGCTATGCAATCGATACATCCCATCTGCCTCTCATCAACGCTCCACCCCCAAAACTCATGAAAGAGCTGGAAGACGATTTTTCTGTGATGTGCTCGCTAACTTCTGGCTGTCGTCTCTGCTTCAACGGTATACTGTATGTCTCTCTTGTATGTCTTGTGAAGACTCTGGTTGCGTACAGTGAGAGCACAGGCAGGTTGGGCACAGGTAAGCAGGTCGATAACTGACAGACAGGTATGCAGGCAAATCATTCAATTCCGTCTGAATAATATGATTGTGTTTATTACACTCCACTATCAGTACGTGAAGAAGATTTCTACAATTCAGACAAAAAGTGTTGCAGAAACAAATTACTAATCCTGCTGTTAATATAAATGGACTGTATGAATGAATATAGTGCTTTTCTAAATCTATCGAGCACTCAAAGCACTTTGCACTACAAGCAGTCACCCACTCATGATTTCACATTTATAATAAGCAGACACAGAAGAAAGTTCTTAATGTGAACGGTTAGCTTGGGTATATGTGAAAAATGCTACAGGGACCATTTAAGTACTTTTGGACACTGTATGCATTTTTATATACATAACATTTTGAGAGTTAAGGGACTTTTTAAGAGAGGGGAGGGGGGGATCTGTGTTTGAGGACTTTAATAACTGCATATCCGATGGCAGAATAACACTCTATACTTATATCATCAAGCCTCTCAAATATCTGTGAAAATGTCTACGCTCACTTGATGTAGCTGGATAACAGGGAATCAGGTTGGGAATAAACATGTGGGACTGTGCTCAGTAGGATGATGTCTTTGACTGTGTTTTAGCCAAGTTTTTTACAAGTCGTTAACAGCTGTTAGAGTCACTTTAGAGAGCTATTAAACTGTAAGCAGAAAATTACCGTTGAGACAGGACTTTGATGAATGTTATTCATATTAAATAAAAAATTTGATAAATAGTAGCATTAGCAATATGTAATAGCATCTGTTTTTGTGTCTTCTAGGTCTCCAGTCTTTTCAAAGACGGGACAATAGGAGGGAACATCAATATAGTGATCGTGGGTCTCGTTCTTCTGGATGAAGAGCAGGTGAGCATCCCAAAGTCTGTCAGTAGTGTCAGGTGAAATCTTCATATTTTCAAAATGCCACTTTAACAGCACTGCACATAGACTGTATATCAAGATGGACAACACAACTCCACTTCCTCTCATTATCGAAAAGGCATTTGGAACAAGTCTGCTCAGTAGCGAGGTCCAGTTGACCTCGCTACCGTGTTCAACCAACCACCAGTCTCAGCTGTCAATCGTGAAGTTTCACCCCAGTTTTATAGCATCATATCACTAAATAAAACCTAACAACGACTTGTCATAACAAACATCTTTAAAAGAGAAAAAAAAAATTGACTTGTACTTTTTACACTTTTTAATCTAGCCCAGGTCCCATCCACTAACATAGAGGAGGTGGGATTCATAACCTATACTGAAGCCAGCCACTGGGTGGTGATCGAGACCCTTTAGATTCACTTTAGGGATGCAGTCATGTCATCCATCTTTATTTACGCTGCATGGCATTGAATGATGGCTATAGATTTTTGATGGGGTTGAAGCTTTTGAAAATTTCTCACACAAGCGATATAGAATTGTTCATGTCAAAGAATATATCACTTATAATATACATCCTTACTTTAACCACCCTTTTCTTTGTTAATGGCGACATTAGGGGGCCTGGGAAATAAGAATTTGGTTGTGTATTTGTTTTACCTGAAGGTCCTGATCCCTGAGGTCTGTCAGAGATTTTCCCGGAGTCGTCCTAACAACTAAGGACTTTTACAGTGGTTAATTATAGGGTATGCATTTCCTGGATGTTTGCCAGTTTGAGGAGGGAAATTCTCGTGGAGAGCAGGCAATAGAAAGACAGCATGAGAAAAAAAAAACATAGAGCGAGGGAGAGAAGGATGAAGAAATAGGTGAGGTACTGTCAAGTGTAGAGCAGGTCAAGGATAATGGATTCAGGTTTCTATCCACCTGTGATGTTAATAGAGTTCAGTTTTCCCAAATAAGAATGTCCACTCGTACGTCTTCATGCTGCCTTTAACATTCAGACAGTTTGTCTGTGATAAATGATAAATATCAAATTTTGCCATATGTCATCTGAAATGTGTCTGTCTTTTGATAAGATTAAGCAAAAACTACTAGTTAGAGTAAAAAACTGACTACAAGTGATTTTAACTATTTTAGTTTATATTTTTATTCCCTCTTCATTTAACATTGTGAGAGGGCCTTTTTCTACATTTTGGAGAATTATCCAAATAATTCAGACCTCTTTATTTAAAAATATCTATGAACATGTGAACTTGTAAGAAAAGTTGATTCAATATCAATGTGCGCATATGTAATATGGGGTGTCAAATTGGTTATCGTCTAAGGAGAAGGAGATTAGGTGACGTGATTTCATTTGACTGACTTTTTATTTCTCCTGAAATCCACACTCTGTGCTCACTGCCTGTTTTCCATAAGGACAACATTGTTTCTCTCTGTCTGCCTCATTTTATCTGGTTTATCTACTAGGATGGCTTGGTGATCAACCACCATGCAGACCACACACTGAACAGCTTCTGCCACTGGCAGTCCACTCTGGGAGGCAGAGAGGGACGCCACCATGACCACGCCATCCTCCTGACGGGACTTGACATCTGCTCCTGGAAGAATGAACCCTGTGACACTCTCGGTATGTCTTTATTGCCTTGTCCATCACTGAGCTGGTCAAAAACATGGAGGAGGATTCTACAGTGACAAAATGTCTAAAAGTGAAATTTGAGTAAACACAAAAGAAGTAAGGGCAAATGCAAAAGCTCCAAATATTGAAAAGTGGCACTTTAAGAGGGTTTTACATTAAATTAACTAATTCCGACACATGTTTGCCAGCTGTGTTTACTTGTTTGTCTGTTGTTCTTGATAGAAATATATCATTCATATTTGCTGCCTGTGTCTCTATGGGAAAATGCCCCTGTCTACTGTCACACGGTGGGACCCAGGATCACACCCGTCAAACCAGATGTTAAAAAGATCTGCAGCCTTCAGATCTTTTCTGCTCCACAGTATCACATATGGAGTAATATAAAGTTTGCAGCAGATAAAAAGAAAAATTCATCAGCAGAGGGGGGGAAGGATGAGTAGTCCAGCTTGATTGATTTATCTGGAATTTGACCTCTTGAACTTTTTATTTATAAGATGCAGAATTATAGAAAATAATGCAGATGGAACAATAAAACAAGTTTAGAAAATGAAATATGCTCATCCTGTTTTCACATCACAGAAAAGAGTTCAGCTACTTTAATCACACACACACACACACACACACACACACACACACACACACACACACACACACACACACATCCCTGGAGTCAGTTTTCTTGAGTGCACACCATCTAACAAACTAACAACAGCTTGTTTGTGGTAATGACTGTGCCAACACATTGTTGTTTTCCACACTGTGAGAAAAACGGCCATTTTGTGTCCCACACACACACATGCACGTTCTCACACACACTCCCCCCCACACACACACACAAACCCAAGCCTCAGCATTGACTTCAAAGCGTTGAGACTAACATTAGCCTTAACCATTGCCCAGTTTAAAGGTATTTGTGTGTGCATGTTTTGTGTGTGTGCAGTCTAATAAGAGTTAGCTTGGACTAATTCCCATAGGCCAAAGCCAAAATTACCATTAGTGCTACCAGTTGAGTTTAGGGTTAGTGCATAGCAGCCCTAGCCATCAATGTTTGCCTCCATATTTCAAAACGCAGTTGATAATATCAATGATCTACCTCTTTTTGGACACTAAAATGTGAGTTCTCACAGTCTCTCTGCCTCCTTATGTACATATGTAGTATCATTATTCAGACTAGTTATGTACATGGGAACATTACTTTAGGGGTTTTACACTCTATAGCGAATGACTTAAAGCAGTAAAAATAACATAACACGAGGCTGAATTCTCCCCCAGGCACTGAGACAAAAACATTATGGGAGGCCCCCATGGGAACAACGGAGGGAAAGTGAACAGAAAGAGAGTCGCACAGTTAAGGGAGCTGAATATTAAAAAGGGAGTTTAATGGAGGAGGAGGCATATGAGAAAGCAGTAAAGAAGAGGAATGAAGTGAAAGGTAGAAAGAGATCTGGGGATGTTCCCACAGAGTCTCATATTTTAACATATGGAGGGATTTTTACCAAATTATGGCCTGTTTGACGTTTCTTGGTTTTCCACTGATTTCATGGTCATGCTGGACCTGACTGATCAAATACTTTTTTGGGATGAACAAACATTATTGTGTTTGAGTCCACAAAACACTTCTGGAGTCTCAGGGGTTAACAGTGTTGCAGCCAAAGCGACCCCTTCTTCAGACATAACAAAACAACAGAAAAAAACACAACATGCCTCCATACTGCTCATGTGGTTTCATCCAAGTGTCCGCAAGCCCTGATATTCATATTCTACTTGAACAATCGTCATTTACACTGTGTTTTAAGCCTAAAACCTAAAGGTTCACTACTGGAAGTAGCGGATGCTAGTGGATGCAGCAATGCGAACGCGCACCCTACACGTGGCTTTGGGCAAGAGTGTGTGTGGGTTTCCAGCGTGGCAATGAGAATGTGAACGCGCCTCTGAGGAGGATATGAGAGGACATTTAGGCTAAAACCATGGTGCAAATGACACCGAATGAATTTTAATTTTTCTGTGAACTATCCCATTAAGAGGCAACCATTTTAATGTGAAATAGGAATAACAGAAACTGAAAAGGAAAAACCGAAATCATCAGAGTACCACCCATGGGCTGCAACCGGTCTAATATATGAGGATGTGGAGGAGAGTGGTCCCAGCAATGCCTGGACAGTGGCCGGCTTGGCCCTGTTAAGGCACGCAGTTGTACACTCAAGGGATACTGTAACACCGGCAGGATGCCATCCAAACAATGGAGGATCAAACAATGAAAGTGTGGGATAAACAAGATTGTCAGTTTTGTCTTTACTCCAATAAGGCCTGCCAGCAGTGTCCTGCATTGTTTTAAAGTGAGGGGTAAAGAAGTGTCCTCTTTGAGAAATGTCAGGTATTGGGTACTATTGTGCATCCTAGTAACTCTTGACATTGATCCAAAAACTCCCAAAATATGTTTGTCTGATCAAAAACTGTGATCTACAATGTGTAAAATTTGCATCACCGGTTTCACAGGTTTTGCTCCGATTAGTGGGATGTGCAGCAAGTACCGGAGTTGCACGATTAATGAAGACACAGGCCTGGGTCTGGCATTCACCATCGCCCATGAATCTGGACACAAGTAAGGGTTTCCATCCCTCTCAGGCTCATGATGACATACAAAAACTGATGTGTGTTCATTAAACATGCAGTAAGATTGAAGAAGGGACATATGTGTCTATACATTTTGTAAATGTTTGTTCATTTGTATGTTCAAAAATTCGCTGCCTAATCCTCCACGTCCATCAGTAAGGAAAAGTTAGGACTTTTGACAGACACATTCATATGGTGCAGCCTGTTTTTCTCCTGCTTGATCCAAACATATGACAATGTGCAATGAGACAGCATAACATATGTTCTTGCATCTTTACTTCTGGTTTAAAGAAGAACTGAGTTTAAGGTTCCTCTATTGGTTTTTAAAGCACTAAATGCCCATAAATACCTGAGCTACTATCCGAGCACCTTTCCACTCCCTGATCTCTCAGACCCTTTGATCAGTTACTAGTTGTTCCTCGGTCGAGGTTAAGTGATGAAGGGGATAGTGCGTTCACTGTAGCCACCCCATGGAACAGCCTACCGTTTACACTGAAGTGCTCCCCTTCTGTCAACATAGTTAATGTGAAACCAGACTCTTGTGCTTCTTAGTGTTCTTAAGTTGTTTTCCACATCACAACATTTATTTAATTCGATCTAATTTCATTATTAATTTATTTTTATTTAACTGTCTTCTTTTATTGTCCAGCACTTTTCTCAACATTTTAAATGTGCTTTTTAAATAAAGTTGACTTAACTTGAATATGAAGTGTCATTGCCATAACTGAACCATATTTAATATTTTCCTTCTTTTTTTAAATCCCCCAGTTTTGGAATGGTCCACGATGGTGAGGGTAACGTTTGTAAGAAGTCGGAGGGCAACATCATGTCCCCTACATTAGCCGGCCACAACGGCATCTTCTCCTGGTCTGCCTGCAGCCGCCAATACCTCAGCCGCTTCCTCAAGTAAGCAGCCTTTCTTTTTTTACCATGACTGCTTTGCTTTTGTTGTGGTGAACAGCGCACACAGAGTTGATTTAAGGAGCATTTGTTGTTAATACTGACATTTATGGGCAACCCTGCTTTAAAGACTCTTATTAAGTTTTCAGAAAATAAGGGGCTGCATCACATTCATGTGGCACATTGACGAGTCAGGAGTAAATACTCATGCCAGCGTTTGTTATGTGCTCATGCAACAAAAACAGAAAGTGTCGTATCAGTTTGTAAAAGAGAATTGTTTAAATAAGAGGGTTCCCATTTTCTTACGCATTGTGTTTATTTCATTCAACATGTGTTACTGATAGATGAACATGTCAACAGCAAATACATCAGTTCCAAATGGCCGGCTGTCCAAAGAGAGCCAAGTGAAAGACTGCACTCATGTTAGAATGATTATTGGACAGGCTTTATTTTGTGAAAGCAAAGTCAAACAGGGCGGCAGTGTGTGAGGCTGAAATATACAGCTAACATGGCAACAAAGCAGAATGATATGTGGTGCCGCTTTTTTTCCTGTAGGTGTTGTTTTACACGATCTGAGGGAAAGTGTGTGAGCGAGAAAGTTGTGTATGTGTGTCTGTGTGTGTTCATGTGTGTGTACATTTTTCATGCATGCAGCCTGCTCACCTAAGTGAAAAAACAAGCACCATGGACGTAGCGTCTAAGTGTCTGTGTCCGTGCATGTGCGTGTGTTTGTGTGTGTGTATTTGAAACCAGATAGCCCAGAGCCAGTGCCCTCCACTAAATTTACCAGTGTGTTAACTGAACTGTCAGGTCTCCGCGCTCAGAGTGGTGGAGACAGACAGTGTATTTCCTCGCTGAGTTATTAGAGCTGGAGTGACCTCACCCTTGTTAGACCTGTCAGCCTTATATTAAACTCCCATCACCCCCCCGAGGCCATGCGGAGGGGGATCTCTGCACTGCTGAACCAACCGAGGGTCATTCTTCCTGTAAAATCACTGAATGATAAAAAAAATACTGTATGTTTTCCTAATTGCAATCAACAGAATGTTATCATAGTGAAATATTTTGGCTTAATATGTCTCATTGGGTTAACTGAGACTACATGTCGCTATCGTCATCTGCTTTGGATGGAAGAGCTTTGTCAGCCAACAGAGTTCTACATCACACTCACTCACCGCTCTCTCTCCTCGATCAGCTATGACTGAGAGCTCTGTGCCAACACTGTACAGTCAGAAGCTTTATCACAGCTCTTCGTCATGCATAACATGGATGGACAACAGGGGAAGCGGAATTTCCTTAAAAGCCACTTGGATTTGTTTTTGTTTGGTGAAGGCCATTAAAAAGTTGGTGAAACATGAAAGGCACAAGATTTCTCCTGTGGTCACATTTGTTTTCCCACAGTCTAAAATAACACATAAGGTCAGAGTTTGATCTAATGATCCTGATAAAGTCAACATCTCAGTGTCTCTTGTAAAACTTTTGTCTTTATGTAGAGTTAAATTTATCAGCTGCTGGCTTCACCTGCATGTTTACTTTGGTTTTGAGAATATTATCAATCATCTTTCTGAATGACTCTTTTTTCCGAAAATATTTACTTAGTCCTTCCATTTTGGCAGTGGCGGATCTAGGACCCTACTAAAACAGGGGCCATGAAGGGGCCAGTTACAGTATAAGTCCAACATCCATGCACAATTCCTGATTTAGTGAGGGCTGCTGCACACTAGAGAATAATCTGGCCCATTTGAGACCCAATTTTCCCCTTCCGACAATTGCAGGAATGGGTGGACTGCCCAAATAATAAAAGTGTGAGGGGTTTGAAAAATAATTTTAATGGTACGGATTCGGAAGCCTCCCTGAATCGTAAATATCTATATCTTCTATATCAGAAAATAAAAATTCTCAACAAATTATCATACCTGTTTTTATTGTTAGTGAGGACAGGGGCACTTAAGGGGTTAAGTTTTAGCTAGGGCCAGTGCCCCCCTGGCTCCACCTCTAGCCCCACCACTGCATTTTGGTGAAGCTATTTTTGTTAATCCGTCAGTGATGGCTTTAAAGCTTTTTTTAAAGAGATTTATTTTGGAGATAACATTATTTTTCTCAGTTTTATTTATGAAAGATTTAGGTGCCAATCCTTGGATTCAGGACAAAACGTGTTCAGAGAGAAAACTGTCCCCACGCTCTAGCTTTACCCACAGACAGTTATAGTCAAGACTAGGAGAAAAACCCATTAAAAATCTCATACAGCAGTTTATCAAGTAGGTCCAGGCTGTTACTTTTGTCACTGTTCATCTTGCCAATCTTGTCCTTGGCATTTGTCAATGAGATTTATGAGACTTTCTCACTTGACTACATGACATGGTTTTACTGTTTTTGTGTTTGATTTATCAACAAACCATTTTAGTAAGAAAATGATTTGTTTACTTAATGTCAGGAAGAGATGACTCAGCAGATCTGCAGGGAATCCTATGAAAACAATGGGTGCTTCACAGACTCCTTATTTTTATCGGCAGCAGATGATTATCATGGGTCGTTCAGTGCTTCCAGCTCACATCAGTGCCATCGGTGAATAACCAAAAACCTGCTCTAAAGGGAATCTGACCTTTTAATCTAATGTGTGACTGAGTGCCGGCATGCCCATGAGCCTCACTCGTGTGCCTGCTGATGCTGATGTATTTTTCAGAAACTCAATTATGTGAATAACGCAGGACATCAGAATATTACACTTGCAGAACAGCCATTGTTCTCTGTAGACACATAGGACCCATAAAGCAATGAAAGATCACACACACACACACACTCAGACACACATTTATTCTGCTAAAGCGATCAGGACCACTCACTAGCACGTTGAACCATTCCAACATATTTTGCCTTTTCATGCTCTTTCCAGCATATTTTTGTATTATATTCCCTGGGCCTACTGTGTTTAAGCTGTAAAACATCTCTGTATAGTAACCACTGATATCAGTTAACATTGGAAACCCCCTGCTGGTGTTCGGATATGAGTGATATGGGCAAGGATATATTTTTTTATGTCTGTCATAATTGAGTGTCTGATGCATTAAAACCATTACTCTCCGGCTTTGAGTTTGGCAACTTGTTATGTCTCCATGGCAACACTTTAGGGTACTCTCCAAAGTGAGGAACAATGGAAAATAATGGACTGGTGCTCGGTGTTGTGGAATTTCTTGGGTGTGCAGCAGGGAGGCTTACATATGAGCTATGTCACGTTAATGAAGCGTGGCACTGAATCACACATCTGACTGTTGCATGCATGTTATATATCACTGAAGTTGTTTTAATATTAATGATTAATGTTACCCCTATATATTTTTTATTTCCTCTCTCCTTCCCTGACCTTTTTACCTGCACTCCCCTCTTTCTGTTGCTTTACTCATTCCCACTTTTGCTCTCTCCCTCATCTTTCCTCGCCTTTTGTCTTTTCTTTTCTATTTTTTTTTCTCTTCTCCTCCAGTTCCGCCCAGGCCCTGTGCCTATCAGATGAACCCAGAGCAGTCAAGGAGTATCCGTACCCCGAGAAACTGCCTGGCGAGCTGTACGATGCAGACACGCAATGCAAATGGCAGTTTGGGGAGAAGGCCAAACTCTGCACCCTCGATTTTAAGAAGGTAAGATTGATTTTGGACGTTTTTCAAATGAAAAAGATCCCGTACCAAGGTTGTGTCACTACCCCCATTGGCAGCTGCTTAATTAGCGCTAAAAAAATCTGAGGGCAGTCATTTCTTTGGAAAAACAGAGAAAGAAATCGAGGAAGGGATTCAAAGAAAGAGATTGAGGAAGAAAGAAGAATTAGCAAAAAGGAAGAAAAAGAGAAAATTAGGGTTAGATGGCCTCGTGCATACACAAACACATGAATGCATACTTGATCTCTCACATCCACACCCACACAAACACACACACACAACAACACAAACTAAACTGGGAGAGTTGCAATGCTGCCCATGGAATACTCACTGGGATGGATGACTATATATACACTGGAGCATCGCCAATGGGAATCTCTTCTTGTTGCTCTCCCATTGTCTCATTACTGCTGATGTTGTTTGAGATGCTCTGTGTGAGTCCTCACAGGATTTGGATTGCTTCATTCTTTTATGACATTTTAAAATGTTTTAAATTACTGATGTTGTTGCATCTGGATTAGAAATCGTCTTGGGTCCAAACATGGCAGCCTACCTAAACTTCATCAGAACCAAAGACCTGTCAGAAAAAACCCTTGTCAACTCCAAAATAAATTGGCCAACATCCTTGCCTCCAAGTGGCTACAAAGCTGCTCCCGTACATGCACAGAAGTCTGGGCATTTCCCTGAAATTATCCAGAGCGGGCTGTATGTGAGAATGCAAATATCTGAGTCAGTTGCTATGGATATTTCCCCAACCTTTTCTTGCCAGCCCCCTTGTAAAATATCTGGAAATGAGAGGTTGAGGTCGGGCCTGAATCGTTTTTATGATGTGCTAACCAAAATAATTACTGTGATCTGAAAGAAATGCAATCAACTTTTTATTTAAAAATAGAAGATCAACTTATCGTAACGTGCACAGACTCATATATTGAAGCAATCACAGTGATCAAATATTCCAACCAGCCTCACAAAGGTCAATAGATGCTCATATAACCATCATCATCATCCCCACCAAGTGACCTTCATTCTGCCGAATCAATATAAAGACAAATAAATATAAATAACTAAATAATACCCCACAATATAACCATTACACCTTGTATCATTACCAAAAAATAATATTCAGCTTCAACTCATCCATGGCTCCTACATCTGGGTGAGCCCATGTGAGAATACAGCAAGAGCATTTCCAGAAAACACAAAGCGAGCAAGCAGGCGTGTCGATGATGTTTCTAACACACAACAGATGCAAAAGGGGTCAATGTCCTGCCTCCTCAATGCTGTTCCCAGGCGCCAACGCTCATCCGAATCACCAGAACCTTTAACGAACGGCAAACTCTTCTTCGTCATGTCTGAGAACTGTGAGACTATAGCATATGTGCAGTTACTGTAAGACCTAAAGTTACTAGACACATTTCCCTTTTTGAATATGTTATTTTGGTTTTCATTAAAGATCATGATGGAGTATGATAACGTTATAAAGCATGTTAGCATATTTTGAGAACAAGGGTTGGAAATGTCACAGAGACTTGCTGGATTTGAATCCATGATATTGACATGATGGTATCCTCCTTTACTCTTCTGAACACTGAAACATCCTTGCATTATTCCAGCCATAAGACATCGGAGAATTACTCCCTCATGGTTTTGTTTTTGTTCTCACGTCTCATGTCTGTTGATGCACCTGGTAGCGGCAAGGTGCAGAGGACCCAAAAATCCCCAAGCAGCCCTCACGCTCACTGTCTTTCCAGACACTTGTTACTCATAAAAAAAACCACTCAAGTATCAGCCTCAGTGGTGCAATTCATCATGTAATGAAATCATTTTTCTTGGAACTTTTTGGCAGGCATTGTCAAGATAAGGTACCAGTGGAGCGGCCAAACGATTCTCTCCACGGCGTTTGTGGTTTGGTAGAGCTTGGTTACCCTAGCGAAATGCAAAATAATAAGTGTGGGTGTTTTTCCCCTCTTTCTCTTTTTCCTCCTCTCCTCACCTCTCCCTGTCTCTCTTTATCTTCCGTCATTCGCTCGCTCTTTGCCATTTTTTAACTGCTGAAAAAGTTCCTGAGCTACCAAAACAGCTGGACAAATACAGGCCTTGGGATGAAATCCATGGTGGCTCTTGGCAGTGATGAGCTGAGGCCGAGGTGCCTGTCAGCATCTGCACTGAGTTGTCACAATCTGATATAGTCATTCAGAAGGTAATAGAAACGATGGTAACATGCGGGCCATGTTTCTCAGGCAATGCATTCAGGGAAACCACCCAGCGTTCCTGCAGAATCTTTTGGACGACTGCTGAGAAACACAATCATGACTTTGTGATTTACTGGTGAGGCAGATGTGCCTCATTAATGGATGGGGTTATTTCTCCTTCTCTTAATGTCTCTATTTTATATATATATGTGTGTGTGTGTTACAGGAACTGGAAGGTAAAGACAATGCAATCAAATACTAATTGCAGAAGAAGCTTTTCATTGAATTTTCTCCATCATTTTGCAACAGAAACAATGGATGTGCATGATTTAATATCATTGATTCATTGCGTCGCCTGTGGAATAATTCCTTGCAACAGTTGGACAACATTTCATGTATTTTCCTCCTTTTTTTCCCTTAAATGTTGTTATCCTAGCTACTGAAGCATAAATATTTGGGAGATTCAAGGTTCCTGCACACTGTGAGCTTGCCAGACGGTCATTATTCAGACAATTCCTGGTCCCCCACTTTGTATCAACATGGCTGAATGGCTCCCAAGAGGCAAAATAACAATGCAGTTATAATTTATTGTTCTTACCAGCGCTAGTTTGTTTACAGATGTTGTGAAGAGGACGCTGATCATCCCTCTTCTAAAATAATCACTGTCTCATGCAATTTAACATTTTGTCTTTCTCTCATGTTGTTCCAGGATATCTGCAAGGCTCTGTGGTGTCACCGTGTCGGGAGGAAGTGTGAGACCAAGTTCATGCCAGCTGCCGAAGGTTCTGCCTGCGGCCCAGATATGGTGACTTGACATCTTCCTTTTTTTATTGTGTTTAGATGGTGAGTCTGTCTGTGTGTGTTTAATCTCAATCTTAATTTCTAATTTCCTGGTTAAGATATGAATAGTGGTTAGGTTAAGGTTAAAGTGAGGGATAAGGTTTTGTTTATGCTGTCCACAATAAATGGAAGTCATAAAAGTCCTATTGAGTATAGTTGTGCAAACCTGTGTGTGTGTGTGTGTGTGTGTGTGTGTGTGTGTGTGTGTGTGTGTGTAAACACTTTAATAAACTCGTTAGGACCTTTCTGGCCATTTCAGGACCAGTAGTCCAAATGAGGACCAAAGCCTAATAAGGCAAAAAAAGGTTTGAAGCCAAGTGAGACTTGGTTAGTAAAAGGTTATTTAAAGGTTAGTTAAAGTTAAGGGATGGATAAGAAATGGTTATGGTAAAGTTACCTCAGCCATTGTTGCCTTTAAAAAGTCAAATCTATTTTAATACTTGGTGTTGTTTTAATTATTCTTGTTTTTATTTATGATATATTATAAGGTGTTCTTGGGTGACTAGAGAGTGAAATAAAATGTAATTATCATTATTGTATGCCTTGTGAGCACGGCTACTGTACAGACTGGACATTACAGTAATTTGCGGGAACTGATGGGCCAGTTGGGCTGGTTCTAACCTCAGTAAAAGTGAAAAACGTGTGTGGAAATATAAGCAATGCAACAGTTAACATTGGTATCAATTTCCACTGCGGAAGACTGCTCTTGGTGAGCCAGCGTTTAGGATTAGGAGACCTGAGATGTCTGTTACATTAGCAAAGGGAAAAAGCTGTTTCGGCTTAATTAATGAGTAAACAGCTTTTAATGCCAACATTGATTATATAGCAGTAAGAACTTCTATTTCAAGCAGCTCCTTTAAGGTTTGCCAGTGGTTTAGGTTTTGCTGTCCACAATGATTGGAAGTCAATCCAATGTTCTAACAAGTATAGCTGCACAAAGTTGGATGTGTTTGTGTGGTTATGGAGGAAAGGGGTGATAAACATGCAGGCTTTGTCATCGCAACAGTGGAATCACATGACTGGCGTGAGAAGCTTTATACTTCAATTAGACTTTTATCCATCGCTTTTGAGCCAATTCAAGTGGTCATGCCAATAAAGTTTCTAGCAGGGGGATGCAGCTATCAACTTCTTTCTGCAGGATGAAATTAAACAAGTTCACCATCTTTTCAGGAAGTTGAGCGACCCTTTAATCATAACATCCCTAAAAACTTGTTCCATTTTTGTCAAAGGAGCCAAAATGATTCTTGGAGTTAATATGCCTTTGAGAAAATCTTTTCTTGGTTTGTCAAATGAGGACAGCATGTTTTTTCATTTAACTCTTGCCAATACATTGCTCCATGGTAAGGTCTAAACAAATAAATCCGCAAATAAAAAGGCACCAAACAAGAGTCTCTCACAAGGTTTTGTTTGGTGAGAAAATAACCTCCAAGAACAACACTGCTCAAAACAAGAACATTCAACATGACTGTTTTCAGGTTCCCTATAATAAAAATGAAAGTTTCATAGTTGATCATTGATACTAATTGAAAGAAAGGTGGTTTCATCCTCAGTTTGCTCTTGGGCAAGACACCGAGCACCAAATTGCCCCTGGTGGCTGTGCTGTCAGTGTGTGAAGCTATATAGTGTAAAGTGCTTTGAGTGGTCGTTAATACTAGAATACTAGAATAAATGAAATCCAGTAATCATCCATTTATAAAATAAAAAGCAGGAATTTAATATCATTACTGTATAAGAGGTTTTATAGCTTGTCAGGAGATGTCTTATGCACAGACACATATACACACAGATACACATTCAAGCAATACGTCTATGGGCTTTACCCTTAGTGAGTAGATGGTGATATTTTATAAGGTGAACAGCCTTGTGGATAGAGATATTAATATTAAAGTATTATTTACTGAGTATTTTATTGCTGTAAAGTGCTGATACTTCCACTCAGCTTGTTTCAAGACAAAAACCCTTGAACTGTGTGAATCTGCATGTCTTTTAGTGGCGTAGTTTTACACACCAATGTCATTCTCTACCAGCACAGACCAATAAAAACATCGTTAAACTAAGTGAAAAGTTTGACTTTATTACGTTTTAGCTTTGAATTCATTTAAGTGCTGCATCAATAAAAGCCTTCCTCTTGATGGAGGTATCGTGGTCGTCCTCCGTTATTCTATCTCGGGGAGCAGCTGCAACTGGTTTGTTGCTGACATGGCGAAAATATGCCATCGGGGCTGGGGCCAAAAAGCAATCTGTGCTCTTTATTTATTCTTTGTGTTTTTTTTTCTTTCTCCTCCTTCTTTCAAGATGATTCTCCCCCAAGGCTCGTTCTCTCTCTTACCCCCTCTCCCCTGACAGCCCCTCATCGGCATTTGCTTCTCAATATATTGAACTTGATGGTTTAATCCCGCCCTCTCTCTCCACGGGACAATTAACTCAACACAAACAATGACAGGCTCACTTAGGAATCTGTGGCACTCAGCCGCGAGGGGAAAACTGAGGGGAAATCAGCTGTTCTAGTTCAGTCGAGGAGCGCGAGATTAGCTAGAGGTGTGTGTGTGTGTGGGGGGGGGGGGGGGGGGGGGGGGGGGGGTGCACGTGTGCGTGCTTGTGTGTGCTTGTGTGCAGCTCATGAACACACAGTGAGATCAAGAACAGCTGAACATATGCCCAATATCAATTCTTATTCATGGCTGAGTTGTGTGTGCACTCACTGTGTGTATGTTTGTGTGTGTGTTCACTACGTATGTGTTTGTGTGTGTGTGTACTATGTGTGTTTTGGGTGTGTATGTTCACTTTCTATGTGTCTGTGTGCACTGTGTGTGTGTGAGTGTGTGTGTGGCAAATTCAGTATATTGGGACTGATGTCATCTTGACACGTACATATCCAGTTCAGTGCTGTGCCAGGAAACAGCTTGTGACATAATGTTGCTTTAAGAGAGTTTAGATTCCGTGTTCTCGTGTTATATTAAAAGATTTTGAGCGAAGCACGGCTCATTTTGCAACACGTGATTGGCTGGTTGGTTAATGACTCTCTTTTTAAATACATACAGTGAATAACTCAGTAGTAAGAGCAGCCCAGTCGCTTCATGCAGCGCTCTGCAGACAATCTTTACTCACATAACTTTCCACACACACTGTAGTTTGATATTCCTCACGCTGCCCTGCCTGGTTACCTCATGGATCACATTTGGCAGCGTTTGTGAGTGGAAAGCCGTTCCGTCTGGGTGGCCCCCCTGCATATTCCCCAAAAAGTCTGCTGCAACCAGATTGTGAAGGAAATTCTCCTTGTCAAATTGGAAGAACATGGGAAAAATATCAAAAAAAGCAGTCAAAATCTGCCTGACCTGATACACTTCTTTCAGAAAGTACGTAGAAACCACATATAAATACTAATAAACAAGACAGAACGAGGCAAATACCCCACCCTCGTCATTGATTTGCACTGGAAAGAAGTGAAATTATCTCACTCCCTTGGCAGATATTTATTGTTTTGCCTCAGAACTCAAATTGTTTAAAAGGATGTTTTTCAGTGTTGAAGAAACACTGCTGTGTTGATTTGTGCATGGTTGGCAACACGTGTTTCAACCTGTTTCATGTTTTTGTTAATGTTTTCACTTGGACTGATTTTAACGAGTTGAAAAATGGAGGCATAAGGCCACATGAAATGCAAATTTGACAGCACAAAACAGATCTAAATGTATTATTTTAGGGTGAATATCCATGACACTTCTTTTTTTTCCACATTCACATTTCAGTTGTGTTTGGCTGAAGCTCTGTTAATTCTAGCCGATGACAGCTCAAGGTAGAGACGGTCCAAAAAGCAGCACTGGAGTTTCACTGAGGGACTATGAGTATGTAACCAGCACATGACTGTGACCTTTCTGACAGCAGTTAAACCTGAACCCTGCATCTTATAGGCCTCTGCTGGGGTTTGACAAACGGTCATCGTAAAGAAGATAAAGTGCTGATATATAGTCTGTATGTTATAGAGACTTTAACACACTTTGCCTCCCTTCCTTTGCCTCCTTCTATCCCACTCTTTATTCCTCTCCGTCCCTCTTTCTGCAGTGGTGTCGCAGGGGCCAGTGTGTCAAACAGGGAGACGAGGGCCCGAGGCCTCAGCATGGACAGTGGTCGGAGTGGTCTTCCTGGTCGGCCTGCTCGCGAAGCTGCGAGAGTGGAGTCACCTATCGAGAGAGGCAGTGCAATAATCCAAGGTAGAGAAAGAAAAAAAAAAAGAAAAACAGTACCTAATAGCCAAGAGGGGGGATACCTCCGCCAAGGCCCCGCATTCCCCTTAAATTCAATAAAGCTGCACCAAATAACACACACTCATAGATATTAGTCTCTTAAATGTGCCTGATTTTTTTTTTTCATCAAGATCTATGAATTATTCCCTAGGAAATCTGTAAAAAAGGTGATAAAATGTTTCTGGATCCACCCCCTGATATGACTCTGAAACAAAATTTAATGACCTCTTCCCTGACGGGTACCACATTCTTCCACCAAGTTACATGATAATAAGTCCAGTAGTTTTTGTGTAATCTTGCATAGCTCCTTAGCGGAGTTAAAGAACTACATGAGTGCATGTTAGCAAAGATGAGAAATGCACAGGAATGTAAATGCAAGCAACTAATGTACAGTTTGAAACTTCCATAAGATGATCAATACCACTGTCACCTCCCTGTGTTGAATATAGAGCTCAAGCCAACAATAGTCACAAGTTATTAGGACCTGTTCAGTACTTTAGGTTTGTTGGATCCATGATCCAACACCATAGATTAGTAACTTAATGAATGTGATTGTCAATTTGTGTGTGAAGAGCGACAGAGACGAGCAGAAAGTCACATACAGACACACTTCAGACAGGAGAGAAGTTCATCCCACGGATTATCACACTGTGCAGGGTTCCTTATGACTTCATTGTTGCAGCGACAACTTTTATGAGGGTATTATAAAGATGTGAGTGATTTGAAAAAAACAGAGGTGCAGAATTGCTTGTTGACCGGCACCAAAAATATACTTTTAAGACAAAGGTGCACACAAGCCTAGACTGAATGAATGTCAAATCAAGGTGGAGAGCATCAAAAGAACTGAATGACTATTGACAGGGGGATTTGCCACAACTACCATACATACGAACTGGAAAAACTGGATAACACACACAACTGTATACAAAGAGGGATTGTGGTTTGTGATTGATAGACTCATGGCCAAGAGTGCATTACGACACATGATTAGACCCGTGAAGATCCATCATACGGGTCTGTCACCTCATCACTTATCAATTCACTTAGTCCCATACTCATCAGTCACCCCGGATTATTTGCGCTGCCAGTGTCAGTCAGGGGTTCTTATATCCCAAATGCTGGGGCCCTCCTCTTTATCATGCCATGCCAAGTACCTGACAAGTGTTGGGCTAAATTACACACAGAGAGCAAGAGGAGGAGAAAGACCAAGAGATGAGGGAGAAGGGATGGTGGTGGAGGGGAGAGGAAGACAAAGGACAAGCGAGGGAAGAGAGAGGGGGAGGGAAAATGGGTAGAAGAGATGACAGAGAAGGGATTAAAAAAGAGGGAGATGAAATGTGGAGATGTAAAGGGGGAGAATCTGAGAGAGGGAGAGATAAGTGACAATGTGATTGGAGGGCTCATAGACGGTGTAATTGTCCCGTTGGAAGGCATTTTATGGAACATAGCCTGGGGTTGTACACCTGTGATTGGATGAGTCTTTAAAGACACACACACACACACACACAGAAGGAAGGATAGTCACATATTATCTGTGCCAAAATATGGTTACAATGCAATTCAATGTTAATACCTCCACCAAGGAGGTTTTCACCTGCAGTTGTTTAGTTGTTTGGTTGTTCATTTGTTTTTGTGTTTGTTAGCATGATTGCACAAAAGCTACAGGACAGATTACCACAAAACTTGTTGGAGGGATGTGGTATGGGTCATGGAAGAACCATTTCAATTTTGATGTGGATCCAGATAGCTTTTGTCACTCTCTTTAAAATTGTGAAATTGGTTGTTTGTCAACTTCTTTGTTGATTTCTCAGAGAATAATTCATGGATGGTATTTTATTTCTTTTTTGGATTAAATAACAGTTTTATTAGCTGTCTCTGTTTATCACAAACACATGAAAATAAGATCATAAAGAAAATGATTCAAAGGAAAAGCTACATTTTCACGACACCTATGTCATGCGTATTCCTCTCCATAGGCCTGCGTATGGAGGGAAGTTCTGTGAGGGCTCGTCCAGGTCGTACAAACTGTGTAACACTGAGGACTGTCCAACTAACGGCATTGGCTACAGAGCGCAACAGTGTGCCGAGTACAACAGCAAACAGTTCAGAGGATGGTACTACACGTGGAGACCATACACCAGAGTGGACGGTGAGACAAGCACTGAATTCATTTTCAAAATTAATTAAAAAGTAAAATGACAAGTGAAGATTTTCCAGTTAGCGATGTCACGACACTAAACATTTTTGCTTGTTGCCTCTGGCCTCCTGTGGTGGTTTTCTCGTCTTCCAGATCAAGATGTGTGCAAGCTCTACTGCTTCGCTGAAGGTTATGATTTCTTCTTTGCCTTGGCCAGCAAAGTTAAGGATGGGACTCTCTGCTCACAGGACAGCACAAACGTCTGTATTGATGGACTGTGTGAGGTAATGCTTCACGAGCAGCCGAGCAGCGAGACAGTGACACGGTTGTGTGGAAGCACGAGATAGAAAGCGTGCGGAGTCGGCATTGATGTTTTTTTGAAGATGATATCATGTGTGGGATCTCTGAAAGTGCGCTATAAATTTTGGGGAGAATGGCTTTAGCAGCGGAGGACATCAATAGACGCCCTTGTTGTGCTGTTTCTCGACTACTTCAAAAGCAGTGAAACAAAAAGGCTGACCTGTCACCACAAGAGGGATAAATGATGTTGGCATTCAACTGTTGTGATTTATTACACTGTATGATGTTAAGTTGCATTTTAATAAGCAGGGATGTTTTTTTTCTCCACCAGAGAGTTGGCTGTGACCGCCTGTTGGGCTCCACAGCTGTGCCTGATGCTTGTGGGGTCTGTAAAGGAGACAACTCCACCTGTAAGATCTATAAAGGACAGTACACCAAGCAGCATTACACTAACCGTAAGTCATAGTAATTAAACTCAGTGGTTCATTGGATTTGTTGATGTGGTTTGAGAAATTTTACAACGAACTCTGCTCATATCCTCGCTTTTATGATTTTATAGCTAATATACGAGAATTTTACAGAGCCCCCCCGAGGGGTCATGACAAGAATATTTTCAGGATTACTTTTGCATTCCCTCACGATATGTTTTGCACTATCCCACAATGCTTTTGCATTATCCCTCCATTCTTTTCTTCTTCGCTTCCTACTGAGCCATATGTAGTGTGTCTCGGGTCGCATATTTCTGTCCAGATCTGTCCGAGATTGAGAGATCAACCAAGCCCGACCCAAAACCCACCCCAAGCACAATGTAGTTAATGTAAGCTGCACGCTGCTAAATTTGTGTTACCATGTCCCTGCCACACATGGGAATTACTTGTATTCCAGATTAAAGACAAATACAGTTTAATCAGCCAAGGCAATGTGAACCAACTGAACACAAATCTCGTCCCCTTACGAATGGCCTCTGATTGGCTATCCACGCTCTTATATGAAGCCCATTTCCTCTCAACTTCTCCAACCCGCAACCCTGTAGCATTGATCAGCTCATTGAATTTTACTTTGAGCATGAAGTAAGCTGATATAGTACTACCTCTCAGAATGTATGGTTATGCATGATGGTGTCTGAAACATCCGGAACCAGTTACTGTGCTCAGGACAACTGCACAGATACAGATGACTGCTCACTTGTGAAACCATTGCTAGTTAAGAAAAAACATAAAGCGAGGGAATGCAAACATTATCCCCCAAAGAACTCTCTTCTATTTTGTGTAGTTTAGTGTCATATTTCTGTTGTATTTTCAGTGTCAGGTGCTAAACTTAATATGTTGTCCTTGTCAGAGTACTATGGGGTGGTAACCATCCCAGCAGGGGCTCGGAGTATCCGTGTGGTGGAGCTGAATACGTCCAGCTCATACCTGGCAGTCAGGGACACCCAAAGACGCTACTACCTGAATGGACACTGGACGGTGGACTGGCCAGGCCGACATCCGATTGCTGGAGCCATTTTTGAATACAAGAGACCTTATAACAGACCAGAGAGCCTCTTTTCAACTGGCCCCACCAATGAAACACTGATCATCGAGGTAAGGGATCGTAAATAATTACTTTGACCAATGTTATATTACTTATTTATGTGTTTGTGCCAATTGGTTGTTTTTAATTTACAGTAAGACCTTTCATCACTGACCCTTGACCCTGTGACTTCCTTCTTTCTTTACTCATAATACAAATAATAGTATTCTGGCCACTTAAATGAAAAAATCTTACAAAAACAATGTTACGAGAATAAAGTTGTAATATTATGAGAATAAAGTCAAACTTTACGAAAAAATAAAAGTCATACATTTGCAAAACTGAGGTCACATTGAATAAATGAGGATCAGCCTATTGCCTGTGATAAAATGAGTAATGTTGGAGGATCTTCTTAAATCAAAGCATAATAACATAATTATTAATATTTTGGCTCATCTGCAACACATTATCATAAGTATCAGGGATTTGAAGAATAGTCTATTTGATTGGCAATCATGATTTTGGATCCAGAGGGAGTGAAACTGTTGCAATCATGGGTTCGCCTTGCTGCTTCATTAAAAACAAAAGAAAAAGATCATTCTCCCCATTTTCTCTCTCCTGTAGATATTGTTGCAGGGCTGGAACCCAGGTGTACGCTGGGAATACACTCTGAAGAAAGCTGATGAGAAAAAGAATCACATCAAACACAATTACACATGGGCCATCATACGCTCCCAGTGCTCTGCAACTTGTGCTGGAGGTATGTACGAACATTTTTCAGTAGCCTTATCATGTTACACTTGTGCTTCAAATTTAATCGAAATGTGCTTTTCCAAACTGCAATAATGTACTAAAAGTTTAGTTTAGTTTAGTGAAGTGACATGTTACTTTTTATTGCTTTTTCGTACCTGCATTTTAAAGTCTACTGCTTTGACAAAAAAGGGCAGATCACCTCTTTTCAATCTGGGCCAGCCTCCACAGATTAAGAGAACAGTTTCAGATCAATGGGCCCTCTGATCTGTAATAAGGCAGCTGCAGGTTAAATGAAGAGAGGAGCATTCCCAGCATTAGTGAGGGGACATTAGTAGCTCTTGTTTCGGACCGATGGGACCTCTTCTACTGGAGACCTGCTATTACATGCACACACACACACATCCGTTAAAACAAGCAAGCACATGCATGCATGACTTTGACCAGTGTGCTTTGTCCCACCAGAGGCCTAGTATTAAGCAGGCGCACACACACGTGCAGAGTCTGGCATGGTGATTTGAGGGCAGAAGTTAGGAGATGAAGGTGTATATGTGTGCATGTTTGTGTGTGTGTGTGTGTGTGTGTGTGCACTTGCTTGGCTTCATGAGTGTGAACAAAGCCCATAGTGTAATGTTCCTTTTGATTGACCCTCCAGGTTAAAGTTCCCCACCCTGGTTTGCGGCGGTCCACCCTATAACCACCTCCACCTCTTTGTGTCCTGATTTTAGGCCATCATGGGTTGGGGGTCGTTGCTTTATTAAAGAGTGCGACTGACTTAACTGACCTGCATGAGTTGGGATGTGCAGGCTGACCGTGCCTAAGGCCAAATTCCAACCAGGATATCTGTGAACCTGGGATTCAAGTTTCACATGATTCAAAAAACACTGCCAGATCAGAATTTGTGTCAGAATTTACAAAGAAAAAGAAGTCACAAAATAGAATGATCTTTGTATTGCCTCTGAGAAAGTAAATGATAATGTCTTTGATTAAGAAAGTTAAATTAAATCAAATTCATGTTTTTCACAGCTTAGAGGGACAGACATTTTTGTACATTGCATAAACAGTGGAAGGGAGGATTTCTTGGGGACAATGAAGAAGCCATATTTTACACCAAAGGATGGTCATTGGTACATCTAGTGTGTTGACAGTATCTTGACAAACTGTTTCAAATTTGGTTTTGTGAAGCTGCTGCTTCCAAGCTCAAGAATACATACATCTATATTGCCTCTCGATTACTATTGAAGCCATCGCAGTAAATAAGGTCCTGTAACTTTGTTTTTGTGTTGCTTTATAATTGCAGAGTAGCAGCCAGGAATAGACTGTAACTCAAAATGAAAATTAATTTCTCTTTTGATGACAGTGTGCGCTAAACTATTGATGTATAACTTTTACAGGCCAGATGAACACCAGGTCAGCATGTTACAGAGACTTGAGAGTGCAGGTGAACACATCCCACTGCAATCCCAGATCAAGACCAGCTACTGGATTGATGCCCTGCAACACCCAACCATGTCCTGCCAGGTCAGACCCCATGTCACTGTTGTGCATGCTTGTAATAGCAGTTGGTGCTGGGAATGCTCTTTCACTCGGTGTTACTTTTGTCATTTAGTTTTGGAATCAAAAAAATTTGCAAATGACCTCATCAAGATATCTGCACTCTCTGACTCTCAATCTGGACATCATTAAAAACTATTTGAACTGTGCACTCTTTTTTCTTCATAATTTTCTAATACATCATTTTGGATGGAAAAAGACTAAATATTTGGTCCTTCTAGACTTTTAGACTTTGGGGTATGTCAGTTATTTGGTTGATCAATTAACTACTTGGAGAGATAAAGTGTCCTGTAGGCTATGTATGTAGCCAAAAACATTGTTGGCTGTAGTTGCTCACTATTTCGTGCATGCATGTTCATGTTGGGAGGAGGCAAATGATCAGGTTTAGGGCCATCAGCCAAACGAGGTGATGTAGTTTCTCAAGCTCATCATGCCAAAGAAGAGATTGTTTCAACTTTATCTCTTCATATCCTTCTCACTGTCTATTTTCTTACCATTTCGGGTGTCATTTATTTTTGTCTCTCTGCCTTCTGTCCCTTCCACCTTCTTCTTCTTTCACTCCTTCCTGACTGCCATTTGTTACTGGTCTTCACAAACGCCTACACATCTGTGCAGAAGAGCTTGTGTATTGGTTGAGTCAACTGCTCCAAGCTTCCCACACTATCTCCTCATTATAAAGTGAATGAAGGGTGTCAGGCAGTGCTGGTTAACTACGTTCTCCACCCTTTCCCAGCCCCAGTAATGCACCTGTTCTAACATGATGACATTTTCCTTGTAATGAAAAATAACTTTTGGCCAAAACTTGCGTGTGAGACACAGGAAAGACAGGGGAAGTTCCACTGGGTAGTCTGTTAATGTCTTCATCCAGTTCGGAGTGATACCTCACTAAACGTCAGGAACCGTTAGCTTCTGTGTTTGTTCAACATAGCAGGCCAAGGGTTTGTAAATCTTTTCATATGTAGCATCACTGTGGGACCGAAGCTCAAAAGAAAACTGCACTTCCCTGGCTAAATCAAGACCCACCAAGGCCTTTGTAGTTCAAAGCGTATGCGTGTATGTGCATACTCTGCTGTATACAAAATGTACTGCAAGCTTATTTGGTGGGACATGTTGGTTCATTTCCAAATTCAGCAAATCTCAGAACATATTGTCCCATCATAGTGCGCCAGAAACAAGCTCCAGATTTATTTGCATTTGGTAACAAAAGAAGGAAACATTATTGTAGGTTGAGGTTCACTCTCAGGTTGCTGTGACCAAGAGGGCTTTTCTCAATGCTGTGTAAGGCCACTGCAGTCACTTTGAGTAGCACTGACAAATTTTCTGTGATATATGACGACACCAGACAGAGCGAGAGTGGGAGCAAGACCCGCTGATGTTTCTGTGGTTTCAGGGTGGGGTTCTGTGGGATCTTGGCTCAGCTCATTTGGTTTGGTCACTGTCAATACCCCTGACACGCAGGACCAGGGCAGAGGATCAAAGATCAGTCAACACAGTCCAAGGCGCTGGACATCATAGGGAGTGGTGAGCAGCACTGACTGTCAGGATATGAATGAAGAAACGTACATAAAAACACACACATATACACAGGGGAGGTGTCCCTCCCCTGTCTCTGCTGCTCTGGACATTGTCACAAATGGTAAAATTCTGGCCAGACAACAAATCAGTGAGACTTAAGATTACGTTGTGAATGATAAGATTTCATGAAAGCCAGATATACATGAATAGAGCAAAGAATATTTACATGTCTATATACCTGTCACATCAGTGCAGTGACCAATGCTGTGATGCTGTGTATCATTCCTACAACAGCTGCTACATGAAGTTTTACCTCCCCTGAGTGCATTTTCTTCTAGTTCGGTTGGAGCAATCAATTCCAAGAAAATATGCAAACAGGATATCTTGGGCCGACATAACTCTTGCAAGAGAAGGAGGTCACCAGTGCAATAACCTCAAGGGTGCATGCTTCTTTCCTGGTCACCAATTGTAACAGTTTCATGTTGTGAAAGGACTTCCTGCAATTTGCTGTTGTCTAAAATTCCTGTGGAATGCATTGATGGAAAAAAACTAACCCCGGATCCCCTTTAGTCACTTTTGCGACACGTAGCCAGCTTTATGTTCTGGCACAGCCCATATACACAGTTTACAATGATAGGTTTGGCAGATCTTGATAATTACTGAACAGGGGGATTTTGATTCCGGACAGAAGTAGACAAGCGCAAGCTTCCTGTTTCTAGCAACTGACTGCTACTAGGATATTTTTTTAAGATCTAGCTAGCTAGCTACTTGAGCTAATCCTATAGGTTACAAATATACAGTCTTACCCCAATGATTCCTTATGTCTGGCATTGGAGACAATACTTTCTGGGCCTGTCATTCTTGCAACAATGCCATGCTCACAGCTTCATAGTGAAAATCCTAAACTTGACATGACATTGCTTAGTAATGGTTGTTAAGCTACAAGTGGACAATCAATGGTTTGGACGTCAAGTAAACAAGTCACTTAGTTTGAAATAGTAAAATAAATCACTCCACTGATCATTTTTTATCACATCCTCTGTGCTTTTGTACTTTACTGGCTGCTACTGTCAGCCAAGCACAGAACAGTACTGGGCATCCGTACAACACTGTCCTTATTGTTGACATTTTCATAGTGATGATTGACCGCAACTACAAACCAAATGGAGACAATCTTAGCTGCATTGTAACATGTAAAAATGATGATAATGACCATGATGTATATCTCTCACAGAAAAACAAGATAATTCATCTCGAGGCCTTTGACAGCTGCTGTTGAGGCGTCGGTTCCTCTGTGCCTCTACTCACAGTTTTCCCATGAACGCTCTTAGTAATGGTCTGAAATATCAGCCAAATTCTCGCTAATAAAGTGGACATCGCTGACAAGTTGGTTTTTGAGCAGAGAAGAATTTTGCTGAGACACTGACCTCATCTTGGTCAGCGTTGCATGTGTTGAATGTGACTGTGTCCCCTGTGTGTAAAGCTTTTTTACTATGTTGTGGCCTAGCCAAGCCACTTAAAATGCTTTATGAACTCTTGTTATTCACTATTAGAAGGGCCACAGCAGAGACAGGCACACTGTGGCCTTTTTGAACCCTCGAGCCGAGAAAGTTGGACACTTTCTGCAGAATGAAAATTAAATGACACCTGGACTTTAAAACAATGTGCAGTTATTTTTAATGCATAGAAATAAAATATATAGAGAGGAACAGTGGAATAAAACAGACAGACTAATCGAAAGCAAAGAACTGTGATCAGTGATTTGTTGTGGTATGACAAATATGAGATTCTGCAGGAGTTTTGGACTGTGCACGTATGTATCTGTATATGTAATGTAACATGCACAGCATACACACAGTCATGATGTAGGATGCTTGTGTTGCTGGCATCATGTTGCCAAGTGCACACACACACACACACGCACACATAAAGAAGTCAGGGGACGAGGTGGTGTCTTGTTACTCTGAAGCTCACTCCCACCTCAACTTTTTACGCCCTCTCATCAAGATGGTTGTAAGTGTTCCTACTGCACCCCACCCTGGGATTAGTGCAGTCAAAACTCCAAAACCACAACAATCTAATGATGCAGACATTAAGGTCACATTCAAACCTCTCACTCCATTTCTCTCTTTTTCTCAGTGCTTATGAGGTCATCCCTCTCCTAATATTCCATTGCATTCCATTGGTGGTGTCCCAACACCTGCTGCACACACAAAAAAAACGTTCTCTGGGATACGGTATTTACAGGGCACCAATATTATGTAATCAGCGCTGAAATCATGGAATCCCAGTAACATTACCGTTTATCTCATGTTTTATAGAAACCAACAGCTGCTCAAGAGGGGATTTTTCCCCAGAAGTGTCAGTGCATGAATATTTCCCTCTTGCTCCATTTCTGTATGTCTCCATTTTGGAACAGGTATCCTAGGAAAATTCTGCACGGTGACCACAGAGCTGTCTCATATTCACCCACATGAAATGGTGATGGTGTTGACACAAACCATATATTTTTAAAAAGTTGTCAGAAAAGGGGGCTGCGTCCTCTAGGGCTTTGTTAGTCCAGACCTTTTGAATAATAATGACATGATTGTGGTTCATTGTGTCATCCTGTGCAGTCATTTATTATTTATTATGTTGTCATTTCTGCTTTGTTTTCACTGTCACATTCAGGAGAGGCTGGTACTGTGAGCACAGTGCTCCGTTGCCAGCATTACAAATGATTTCCACCCACGCTAATAAGTCCTGAGGCTTTTTTGATGAAGGAGTCCACAAAATGTGATGTTAGAATAGCTACTGCTGCGCTCCACCTACAGTCTACATTATTCACTCTATCAGGATTTTACACAGACGTTTGTGTTGCTTCTTAATGTTGAATTAAAGCAAAGTAAGAAAGCATTTTTAATAATTGGAAGCTTCACTTTTGACATGAGATGACATAGGGACTATACAATAATACAATTACCTAAAGTCACCTAGTTCAGTGGCTGCTCTAAACCTGCTTGTTTGGAATGGGCTGTGATACTGGTTGCAGCCTCCTTTGTGAAACTGAGCCGCAGCAAGTAAAGATTGGCTGATGGATTCAGTCCGCAGAACACTGAAGCTGTACCACCTCTGCTGCACAAACAGCCGTTCACCTGTTTATTCAAAGTTGAGTTAAGCTCGACTCAGTTCACAGAACCCCAACCTGGAGAATGAGTTGTTGTTGCCATTGCTGTGAACGTGCCATTTAGGAACTGCTGTTGTTTTGATCAACAACGACACTTACGCTGAGTTCCAGCCACTGCTGCTACAGAGCAGTGATATTCTATTTATTCAAAGTATGCTTATATTGAATGTATCACATGTCAGATTTGTACCAAATCTGAAACTGCACTTCCCTGAGCCCTCCACACTTGCTGATAAGATGGTTCTTGAGATATGCAGGCTACAGACAGACAGAGATTTCTGTAATT